CATTGTTGCACGAAAACAAAACTAATTTACTGATTTATATTCAGCATTTAGGGCTGCGAGGTGTCTCGGTGCTTAGCACTGTTGCCTCCAGTGTGGTCTTTTTCAACAAAGAAGTGTTTGTGGGGAAAAATAAATGCTAACAGACAACTCAGAATCATGAACAAACCCTGATTTGAACGCTCATAAGTTGCTTAAAGCCCGATTTTTTAAAAATCGATTTTTCATCAAATGGTTATCGGTACCCTAACTTGAGCAGGTGTTTTTCAGGGTTTCCCACGGGCAGTTGAACTTCAACATTTTAAGGCATGTTATTACACCTTTACAAACATATTGGTGAAGAAGTTGTTTGGCAACGATTTAGTTGCCAGATTTTGATATTTTTCCCTTACTAAATACATCCTTTTGCTCATCTAGAGCTCATTGGAGCAGACTGCCAGATACTACAGGGGGGGACTATGGATGCGCATCTCATATAACACCGCTTCCAAAAATCGGAACTAGCCCTTTAAGAAGACTTGCCTGAGGGCTTTCTTGCGCTGTTTTTCTTCTGCTTTCTCTTTCTGTGCCAAAGTCAAAGACTCAGCCTCGGCCAAATTATCAACAGCAATGGCCAGGAAGACATTTAGGAGGATGACTGAATGACAGCAAAGTCAAAGAGTATAACTGTGATTAGAGTTCAATTATAATTTTGGACAGAGTTTAGTGTTGGTTGGGCACAGCCACAGACACACAATCTAAAGAAGGATACAATTTCCACAGACAAAGAGAATGATGAAGTAGATGCTGACGAGGATACCAGGCATGCTGGGTCCTCCATGAGCCATAATGCCCTCATACATAACAGCATTCCAATCCTCACCTGTCAGTATCTGAAACACAAGTATTTTAAACATCATTACAGTTAAAATATTTTTCAGTGTCTAATTATATCATTTAAAGTATTTATGACAGCCTCAATTTTCCTAAATATTGGCAGCATGAGATTGGTGATTTTGTATACTTATAGGCTGTTGTGAACTGGAGCTTCTATTACAGTGAAGAAAGTAAATAGACAGGAGAATACAGGAACTGTAACAATTCAGAAAGCTTTGTTGCAAGATTGCAAGATATAGTCATGGAAAAATTATTAGACCACCTTCGATTTCTTCAATTTCTTGTTCATTTTAATGCCTGCTACCACTAACGGTACATTGTCTGAAGAATACAATGAACACAACAAAAAATGCTGCTGATTACATCACACTTTATGTCCTATTTGACATGCTTAATCTTAATTGTATTCTCAGGGTATATAAGAGGCCATTTCATTTCATGAGCAGCACTGCACATGCAAAGGCCTAGAGTGGTTTCCTGCTTACATTCAAGCCGTAGCACAATTCAGGTTCCAAGCAAAGGCACATAATGCCTAAAACAAAAGAAGTATGTGAAGCCACAAAGGCTGACGTCTTGTCACTGCTGGAAATTGGCATGATTGAGAGACAGGTAGCGAAAAAACTGAAGATCTTCAAGACAGCTGTTCATTACACCAAGACAAAACAAACCAAACATGGTACGACCAAATTGCTAGCTGGTCGCAGCACGAAACATCTTTCTAGCCCAAGAGATGACCGTGCACTCATCCGTTCCTGTGTCAAGAATCATCGTCAGACCTCCAGGGAACTTAAATATAAGTGGGCACTGTTGAGAGATGTGACTTGTTCGACAAGGACCGTTCAAAAGTGCACGGAAGAAGCCCTTCATCAACGAAAGGCAGAGGAAAGCCTGGTTACTCTTTGCTGGGATCACAAGGACTGGACTGTTGATGATTGGGCTAAGGTTCTGTTTCGTGATGAATCCAATTTTCAGTTGATGCCCACTCCAGCCAACTTACCCTGGTTAGGAGAAAGCCTGGAAAAACCTAAAATCCAGAATGTCTTGCCCCTACAGTAAAACATGGGGGTGGATCAGTGATGATCTGGGGTTGTTTCAGTATGGGTGGAACAGGGCAAATGTAGTTGTGTGAAGGGCGAATGAACCGGGTCATGTACAGGGCTACTCTTGAAAACAGTCTTCTTCCATCAGCTGGAAAACCCTTTCTTGCCTTGAATGACTGGATTTTCCAACAAGACAATGCTCCTTGACACACAGCAAGATCCGTTAAAGCCTGGATGGAGAACCAGAACATTCAAACCATGCCTTGGCCTCCTCAATCACCAGATCTAAATCCAATTGAAAACCTGTGGAAATCATCAAACGCAAAATGGAGAACCACAAGCCCAAAAACGAAGCAAATTTGTTTGATTGCAGTCATTAAAAACAATGGTTATGCAATCAAGTACTAACTCCTGTGTGTATTGTGTCTAAAACAGACAGAAAAGAAAACATGGAATGCCTAAAAGCATGATGTAAGAACTGAAGTGATTTTGTTTATTATCAAGAAAACCATGGAAAAGCTCTTAAATAAAACTCTTGTAAGCTATTTTTTGTTGTTATCATTATATCTGTCCACACAAATGTACGTTTATTTGTACCAGGCATTAAAATGAACAAGAAATTGAAGAAAACAACGGTTACCGTCAGTGCTCTTGCTTACAGTTGAAACCAGAAGTTTCTCTCTCACACACACACACACACACACACACTATCTGACATGAAATCAGACTAAACTTTTCCTGTTTTAGGTCAGTTAGGTTTACCAAAATTATTTCTATTTGCTAAATGCCAGAATAATGAGAGAGAGAATTTTTAGAGAATTTTTTCTTTTTTTTCAGTCAGAAGATTACTATGCCTTCAACCTATTTGGGAAAGCCTAGATGATGATGATGTCATTGTTTTGGAAGCTTTTGATAGGTTAACTGACAACATTTGAGTTAATTGGAGAAACACCTGTGGATGTATTTTAAGGCACTCCTCAAACACTCTGCTTCCTTTTGTGACAGCATGGGAGAATCTAAAGATATCTGGAAGAGACTTTTGGACCTCCACAAGTCTGGTTCAGCCTTTGGTACAATTTCTTGGAACCTTCAGGCATCTGGAAATTGATTTGCCAGTATAAAAACTATGGGAATGTCCAGCCATCATACCGCTCAGGAAGGAGACGGGTTCTGTGTCCCAGAGACGAAGTTTTGGTTATTTTGCAAAATGTCATGTCAATCAACCCCAGAACAAAAGCAAAAGACCTTGTGAAGATCCTGGCTGAAGCGGGAAAGAAAGTGTCATTATCCACAGTGAAACCAGTCCTGTACTGACATGAGCTAAAAGGCTACTCAGAGAGGAAGAAGTCATTACTCCAAACGCAGTGTAAAAAAGCCAGATTACAGTTTGCAAACGCACACAGGGACAAACACCTTAATTTTTGGAGACATGTCCTGTGGTCTGATGAAACTAAAACTGAACTGTTTGGCCATAATGACCATTGTTACATTTGGAGGAAAAGGGGGAAGCTTGCAAGCCTGAGAACACCATCCCAACTGTGAAGTATGGGGGTGGCAGCATCATATTGTGGGGCTGCTGCCGGGGGGACTGGTGCACTTCACAAAATAAATGGCATCATGAGGAAAGAATGTTATGTAGAAACATTAAAGCAACATCTGAAGACATCAGCCAGGAAGTTAAAGCTTGGGTGCAAAAGGGTCTTCCAAATGGACAATGACCCAAATAATACCGCTAAATTAGTTACAAAGCGGCTTAAGTGGTTTTGGAGTGGCCATCTCAAAGCCCTGATCTCAATCTCGTAGAAAACTCGTAGGCAGAACTGAAAAGGCTTGTGCGAGCAAGAAGGCCAACGTGACTCAGGTACACAAGTTCTGTCACGAGAAATGGGACAAAATTCCAGCAAACTATGGTGAGAAGCTTGAGGAAGGTTACCAAAAAACATTTGACCCAAGCCATGTACTTTAAAGGCCATTGTTCCCAATTTTTAGGGAATTTTTTTTAACCTTTTGCCTTTAAAGAAGTTATTAAAAAATTATCTAAAAAGAAATCTCTCTCATTATTCTGGCATTTAGCAAATAGAAACATTTTTGGCAATCCTAGCTAACTTAAAACAGGAAAAGTTTAGTCTGATTTAATGCCAAATGGTGAGGGGGAAAAAAAAAGGTTGCATGTCTTTTTATACAGTGGCTGCAAACTTCTGGTTTCAATTGTATCTGTGTAACTGACAGCTCAAACAGGAGTGTTTCAAGCTAATTCAAATCTTGCTGTAAGTTCACTTTCCAAAAATGGATACCAAAAAGCATTTATCTTGTACCTGGAACACAGTGATGAGGGCCTGAGGGAAACTGTCAAAGGTGCTGCGTGGTTTGGGTTGGTTGGGAAAGTTGAACTTCCCACCAAACACCTGCATACCCAGCAGGGAGAAGATGACAATAAAAAGGAAAAGGAGCAGCAGCAAGCAGGCAATAGAGCGGACCGAGTTCAAGAGGGAAGCCACCAGGTTACTAAGGGATGTCCAGTATCTAGAGAAAACAATATTCGTTAAACAAATGATTATTTATTTAGACAGCCGCATTCAGCCAGAAAATCTGCCACCAACAGACAATTAGTAACTGTAAGATGTCCCCTTTACAGAATTTTTTGAATGAAACAGAATTGGTGGATTTTATCAAGATAAATTTGTGTGTTTGGTGTGTTCAAGTTAAAAAAAAGACAACAAATTTGCTAGCATAATATAGTATATTCTTGATCATCCCACCTGGTGACTTTGAGCAGGCGGAGCAGTCGTATGCAGCGCAGCACAGAGATGCCCATGACTGACATGACACCCATGTGAACAAGGATGAGCTCCATAATACCAGTGGACACCACAAAGCAGTCAAAGCGATTGAAGAGAGACATGAAATACGAGGGTATGCCTAGAGCGTACATCTTCATGAACATCTCGAGGGCAAACATCGACAGCAGCAGCTTATTGGCATTGTCTGAAGATGATGGATGTGTTTGAGACCAACAGCATGGAGGGAAAGCAAAAAAAAAAAACTGAATGAGTGATTGAAAAAGAGAGACAGTTATTTAATTGTCTTAAGATTGTACCACATTGCACATAGCTGCATGGTGAACATGAAGTTTGTTGTGTGTCCAATGAACAATTTCGGAAGCTTTTCAGTGTTAATGGAAACCTTTCCTGTGACCTGTGAGACAGCTTTTGAAGCAGGTAATTGGATTTAAATTCTATCAATTATATTCTACAGAAAATAACATTGCACCGTACAAAACCCACAACCCACACTTTTTTAAATGTTACCACACCTACCTTAATAACCCTGCTTCTTTGCACACATATTGTAAATACTTGGAAATACTACAGTACAATTTCATTTAGAAGACGCTTTTATCCAAAGCGACGTACATCTGAGAGCAGATACAACACAACCAAGGATCTAGTCAGAAGAAAACAATCTAGATAAGTGCCATACTGCTATTTATTGGTCTTACTCTTATTTTTTTATTGTTTTGGTTTATTTCTTTATTTCTTATACAGAGAGCTAAGATTGTTTGCTGCATAGATGAAGGCATGTTTATACATTATGCACAATGGGGAATCTAACTATTCTCAGGAAAAACAGCCATCATTATGACAAAGAGAATTATGTCAGCTGACTGGTGGGATTAACATCACCAATTGGACCTGCTAAGGCAAATGGTTTAACAACTAACTTTCTGCAGTATGAAAGTGAATCTCATACCTCCTGTGGAGTGATGAGACATTGTGTGGACCATTGAGATTTTGAAGACTGTGAAATAAGTGATATGGTGATTATCACCAAAGTGAGAAATCGATATCCTTTCCTGTTAGTGGATATCCTTTACCCCTTTTACAAATACACACATCCTAACATTCACATATTTCCACCACTCCTCACCTCAGGAAGGAGTGCAGCTGATAAAAGAAGAAGCATCAACTGTTCTAATGAGGATCTGGAGCATAACTCCTTTCTTTCAGCACCCATACGTATATGAACAAATGACTTGTTGTCATTCTCTGTTTTGTTTGTTTATTAAATTATCAAACATTTATCCAAGAGAACACATTTCTATGATGGAGTGTACCATCTACATGGAGGGGTGAGGCCAGGATTCAGTGAACTGATACACGTTATTCTCATGTCAAATGTTGACAAAAACAGGAATTAATTTAATTTTCTTCTTCTCTTTGCTAGATCATGGGGTATCTTATGTTGTAGATTCCCATGTTATGTACAGTTCCTCACAAATGTTTTAGACCACCTGTCATAAAAACGATAAAACATAAATATTTTTGAAATCTTTCAAATACTTGTTTAAACCTAAAAATGTTATTGTTATTTATTATGCAAATAACAAAACACCTAAGTAGCCCTTTTTCATACATAATAAACAAACATCAAAATATTTTGTATGGCCTCCTTTAGCCTTGATAACAGCTTGCGTCTTTCTGGCTTTGTTTTTATGTACTTTTTGACTTTCTCTTTTGTTATTGAATTCCAAATAGTTTCTTGCTGTTCCCACAGACTTGCTTTAGATGAAACTTTTGTGCAATCAATCTTAGAATGTACTACATCCCAAATGAGTTCAATAGGATGCTAATCTGGACTTTGACTTTACCAGTCCATCAGTTCCAGTCCTCCAGATTCCTTTTTCTTGGTTAAATAGTTTCTGCACAGCTTTGAAGTATGTTTGGGCTCATTGTCCTATTAGTATATGAATCCACGATCAATCAGATTCAGTCCAGCGGTTCATTTCACAAAGCAGGTTTAGTGAAGACTCTGAATCTGTTAAGCCCGAAATGAGGGAAACTCTGAGTTTTCCGTTTCACAAGGGAGGTAACTCAAACCAGAGGAAGAGGGGTAACTCTAGCCTGTTTCACAGAGAGAGTCAACTTAAGACCTCGGTACAGACTCTATAAACCTACCCTGGTCAGGACCAGGTTTTTCTCAATGAACCTCGAGTTTCTCTCTGTCTGTCCCTCTTTCAGCCACACACGCGATTTGATTTTCTCATTCATTCAGTCAGCAGGTGAGTTTTGGCGTAGCCTAGTTCTGCCGTCTGTCAAAAACCATTAAAACAATCAGAGTCTATAGGCTGTATTAGAATTCCATTAGGCACAGGTGGCGACTTTTTTCACGAACATGGCATGTCCCTTTGATAACAATCCTGTGGATGAAGGTGCAGCATTACTGCACAGAGAATTAAATATTTGTCGGGAGGTCATTATCAGACCGCACATAGATGTTCTAACATTTCCAGACAGTTGTCTGTTTCACGTCACAAGCCATCATTTACATGCAACCTAATCCGTCCTTACATGTGCAGCATCACCAGCCGTAGTCATGCTCTCACATCCCAGCAGATGTTGTGTGTTCAGGACAGCCGAGGGGTCTAAGGCCCTACACTCAGGTCACAGTCTCCCCAGAGGCGTGGGTTCGAATTCCACTTCTGACAGCTGCTGTTCTTAAAATTTCCCTGCTGCGGGATCAATAGTAGTTTACTCTATCAATCTGTATTGATAGATAGACATTTATTGTCATATTGTTTGCTGCGCTGCATTTCTTTCCAAATGACAGTTTTTTGTAGAGTGTCGGAGATGCAGAGCACCTGAGTAAGGCAACTGTATGCAGGGCGGTCAGAAAAGTGTGCCTCACCCTGAGACGGCCTTTACCCATCTTTGTCATTTTCAATGAACATAAACCTGACAGAGCCATCCAGGAGGAGTTCCACTGGGTTGCAGGTGAATGATGTAGAGATCTGTTAAATTAATTTTAAATTATATTCTGTTAAATTCTTGTGCTGCAACCTCAGATTTGAACAATGTTTTTATGTTTCATCTTAAGCTGCTGCCAAGTGCACTTCTCCCCCCGCGCGATCGCACCTAAATGAAATAAATTAATGGGCTACCATTCAAGCAGTTTTCTCCTGTATTATTATTGTGACTGCAAAGGACGACATTTAAACTTGTGCATTGACCCGAGCAGCAATGGTCTCCCCGCCGTCTCCCTCTGTTTTGCAGCTGCAGCGGTGTTGCACTTCTTTTTAAAAACACGTTCAAATTCGCCATATGAGTGCATTAAGATTTCCAATTCTAGTGAGGTGAAAAACGCAGCCCTCCACTTCCCCGTTGCCATGGTGACTCATTGACTCGGGGCTCCGTTGATGCTGGCTTTTTATAGTTTTGGTGCATGTGCTTAACTCCAGGTGAAACTACTCCGAGTTGATTAAACTAACTCAAATCCGCTGTTCTGGAACCGGAAACTCTGAGTTTCCTATCTCATAGTAGATCAACTCAGAGTTCAGGATTAGACTCAGAGTTTGTTGAACCTGCTTTGTGAAACAGACCCCAGAAGGGATACCATGATGAGCTAAGACGTTGCTTATGCTTCCGTCAATTTTCACTAGTTTGCCCATGCCGTATTTGTGCTCTCTGGCAAATCTGAGGCGTTTCTGGATGTTTGCAGGCCTCAATAATGTTTCTTTTTTAGCAGCTCTTCAATCAATGCTTGTGATTGTTGTCTCTTATGTTACCCGTCTGGTAGACTGTAAACTGAATTGTCCTTCAGGGATAAATCAAGTTCTTGAATCTTCTTCTCTGTAAGCCTTGTTCCATCCGTCGTCGGGTTAGCCCTTGTGTAAGTCACTTGTTTTCCAATTAATGTTTTTCACTAATTGGCATTACTTTGTAGAAAATAGTTGGTATCATCACAGATCATCATCAACATCCTGCAGCAGCCTCCCTCTCCCTCCTACAAAGGCTTTCGGCTAAACGGGTGAATGTAGAAATTACGATTGTCAATGCTCAATTCCAAAGTGATTCTAGTTTGATCACCGCTCTACCAACTGCTTCCAGTGACGGTGACAGTTAATTAGCTGTTTATCTATATTCATTTATTCACTCTTTGTTGTTTGTTATGTCATTGTTGTTTATTGTTTGTTTGTGATATGAAATAATAAATGTTTGCGTATAATTATCGTCTGTTTTTACTGTTTACTTCTTTGTTTGGGAACTGGAGGGTCATGAAATCAGAGTTCACGACTTTCAATTCTAAGGCTGATCGATATAAGTAGAGTTGATTACTCATTAATATTCAATCTTCAATTTTCCTGATAAAGGTCTCTCAGATGGCATACCTAACAGCTGAAAAGAATATATGCTTGGTGCCCCTGATAAACGAATACAATTTTAATCAGAAACTGTAGTTTTGCTACATTTTATATTAATTGGTTTGTGAGACTGCACAAGTTATGCTTTTTTCACAACACATTTCTACACTTGTTTTTTTCTTCATTTGAATTCAGACAAACTGAGGTTATTGTATTTGACCCTAAGCACCTCAGAAAACGCTCTCTAACCAGATAGTTACTCAGTTCTACTTGAAGAAGAACCTTGAAGTTATTTTTGACCAGGATATTTCCTTCAACACATATATAAGTCCAGTTTGTAGGACAGCCTTGTTTCATCTTAGAAATATTGTAGAAATCAGGAACATCCTGTCTCAGAATTCCTGGAGTTTCAATAATTAGTTTGGGAGGCTCGTCTGTGGTGGAATCAGGTTTCAGGAAACAGACACCCTCTCTACTTTTTAGATTAGTCCTAAAACTTTCCTCTTTGATAAAGCTTATAGTTAGAGCTGCTCAGGATCACCTGAGCTGTCATTTTGTTATGCTGCTATAAGTTTAGACTGCCAGAGGATTCCCAGGATGCACTGGGCTCCTCTCCTCTCCTCTCCTCTCTCTGTCTTCCATAGATTTATATATCACCATTGCATATCACTAAGTCTGTGCTATTTCCTGAGGTCCTGTGCTTGTTCTCTCTGCAGGTGTCTCTGGATCCCACCCCAGCCCCTCCTGCTATACCTCCTGTGAATTTACAAATAAAATTGAATTGAACTGAATTGAATCAAGAACCTGTGGATTTTGTTAAAGAATCAAGTCTGTCAGAAAGCCAACAAATTTAGTTGAACTGCATCAAGAGGAGTGGTCAAAAATACAACTAGAAGCTTGCAGATGGCTCACAAAAGAGCTTAGTTGAATTGAAATGGTCAAGAGACCGTTAATATAATACAGGTTTATTGTTTGTGATAAAAACATGTGTTTTAATAATTCCATCTGATTGCACCAAACAAATGTTTTTAGAAAAACTGAAATACATAGCTCTGCTTACACACACACGCACACACACACACA